GCCATAGCTCTTTTTTACGTCACCTTATTCCTATGATTAGTTTTCCTCTTGTCTTCCTCGCTTAGAATAGAGAGAGAGAGAGAGAGAGAGTGTTAAGTTAGGTTACGTAAAACCTTCATAAGATTAAGTAGTCCAGTTTAAATAATGTTAGGTTAAGTTGAAATGAATTAATCTAGGTTAAGTTAGGTTAAATCTAGCTAAAAATTGGTTCGATAAATTGGGTGTAAATGATAACGTTATCAGGACCCTTTATGGCGTCAAAACAAACTAACATCACTAAAACCAAACCTAATCTCACAGTACAGGAGACTCACAACCTCTTATATCGTAGCCTCAAAACACCAGCCAAGTTCTTCCCAGTATTTCCCCATTACCATCATCATCACCACCATTATCCTCACCATCATCATCATCATCAGTTCACCACCATCACCACCACCAGGTTACCCCAAGGCGTGTACTGTGCTCCCAGGCAGAATATTATTATTACACTTGACTATCTTGTTCGTCCTGGGTAATGAACTCTGTCTATCAAGGGTAAAACTGAAACACTTATTAACAAGATACCATCGTCCTGGGAGGTAAAATGCGAACACTTATCTATTTATTACAGTTTTATTTATTTTTTTACGCCAGGGTGAAAAAAGATGTTGTAATTCTTAAATGTTTTTCTGTGGTAAGTATCCTGGTAATTGATATTTTTTTTTACGGAGATAACAAAGGGAGTGTAGTGAACCTTTGTTGATGTTACGTATATTATTGAGTTTATTATTATTATTATTATTATTATTATTATCATCATCTTTTCTGTAGCATCACCATCATCAGTAGTAGTAGTAGTAGTAGTAGTAGTAGTAAAACAACAATAACAATCATTACAGCCCGTCACAAAAAACGGCCCGAACCTAACCATAGAAAACGAGGAAGGCTCATTCACAGAGAACGATACAAATCTAATTAAAAAAATAAAAAAAAATCAACGCGCGAGACGCCATCAACATACCACTGTGATGCTACAACCTCCTCCCTCTCATGTTGTGTGTGTGTCTGTCTGGGAGTGAGGAGGAGAGAGAAGGAGGAAGAGGAAGGAGAAGAAAAAGAAAGGAGAGGAATACTACTACTACTAATAATAATAAATAACAATAATAATAATAAGAATATGAAGAATGAGAATAACAAGAATAAGAATAAACAGAATAAGAATAATAAGAATGGGAAGAATAAGAATAATTAGAATAAGAAGAATAAGAATAAGAATGAGAAGAATAAGAATATTAAGAATAAGAATAAACAGAATAAGAATAATAAGAATAAGGAAAAGAAAAAGAAAAAGAAGAATAAGAAAAAAGAAGAATAAGAATAAGGTTAAGAATAAACAGAATAAGACGAATAATAAGAATAAGAAGACCAAGAATAAGAATAAACAGAATAAGAATGTGAGGAATAAGAATAATAATAATAAGAATAATAAGAAAATGGAAAATAATCAGAAAAAGAAAAATATGAAGAAAGAAGGAGAAGAAGAAGAAGAAATAAGAATAGTAAGAATAAGAATAAGACGTAAGAAGAAGGAGGAGTAAGAATAGTAAGAATGATAAAGAATAAGAAGAAGACCAAACGTGTTCAAGGTTCACTCGACGCCGGAATTTGAACGAACGCCTCTCATCCAATTGCAACCTTGAACGATAATGAACACTGCCATTTACCGTGTGTGTGTGTGTGTGTGTATGTGTGTGTGTGTATGTGTGTGTGTGTGTGTGTGTGTGTGTGTGTGTGTTTAAAATGTTACTGGACGACCCTGTAATGTTTTTTTTCTCTCTCCCTTCCTCCTGAGAATCTTACTTACAACAACATTATCAAGATTCACCGTGTAAATATGTGTTAAGATATACAAATAGTTGTAAACCTAACCTAACCTAACCTAACCTACACTAACCAAACTTATCCTAACCTAACCCAAACTAACCAAACTTACCCTAACCTAACTTAACCCAACCTAACCAAACCTAACCTAACCCTCAGGTAGCATCAGGGTGTTTAATCATCAGGTGAAATAAACTAGGGTGTCTAATCTTCAGGTCATTCTTAAACCCTTCAATATTGTTAGTTTCCTTATTTATGGATTCTCACCTTACAAACCCAAATACAGGTGTGCCATCTAATTTATTCTCAGGTAATTAATGACCTTCTTTCAGGTAAACTAATTAATTAACGGTAGCCTCTTTAAGTAAGTAAGTGTGTGTGTGTGTGTGTGTGTGTGTGTGTGTTTCATGAGAGATGGCGGTGAATAGGAGGTTAAGTGAGGGTGGAATGCTAAGTGTAGGGTCAGGGTGGAGGTGTGGAGTATGGGGGGTGGAGGTGTGGAGTGGGGGTGGAGGTGTGGAGTATGGGGTGGAGGTGTGGAGTATGGGGGTGGAGGTGTGGGTATGGGGGGTGGAGGTGTGGATTATGGGGGTGGAGGTGTGGAGTATGGGGGGTGGAGTATCGTGGTGGTGTGGAGTATTGGGAAATGTGTGGTACTGAAGATGTAGTGAAAGTGGGCGGTATGGAGTACAGGGGAGTAGGCAACAGGATGGATGATGATAAGGAGAATTGAAGAGAAGGAGAAGGAAGAGTAAGAGGAGGAGGAGAAGAGGGGGGGGAAGAGATGATGTGTATTTTGGGGAGTTATACCCTGATATGAGAGAGTAAATTGGCACACATAGCGAGGTCGAAGGAGGGAGGGAGAGAGGGAGGGAGGGAGGGAGGAAGCGGCCGACAGCACTTTGACATTTCCCGTCAGTAAAAGTGGTACCATAAAAACCATGTGACGAAGGGCCATCCGTGATCATCCTCGCTGTTTAACCTCTTGAGACTGACCCAACAACGCCCGCCTGCCACCTTAATTAACATAACAGGTGCTCCCGCCATATACAACCAAGTCACAGGTAGCTCACCTTCTCTCCTGTGCCGACGATGGACCTGCCTTCTTTCATGCCACCTTTTCCAACAACAAATTGATTATTTTTTTTTCATTCTCCTCTCCCGTGTCTTCCAATTCTCCAACACACCAACCACCCATGTCTTCATCCCTCCAACACACCAACCACCCATGTCTTCACCCCTCCAACACACCAACCACCCATGTCTTCATCCCTCCAACACACCAACCACCCATGTCTTCACCCCTCCAACACACCAACCACCCATGTCTTCATCCCTCCAACACACCAACCACCCATGTCTTCACCCCTCCAACACACCAACCACCCATGTCTTCACCCCTCCAACACAACAAATAGACAACGAGAAAGAATAACACACGCTCCCCCCCCCCACACACACCTGACCAAGTGACCTCAACTATCAAACAACATCTTTCTATATACAGGACATTAGCCAGCAAGACCCGACTGATATCTTTATACACTATGGCTCTTTGTGTAGATGGTATTGTCCTGTGTCTTATGCCTAAGGTGGTAAGTGGGTACACAGGTTAATTATAAACACCTGACCAACACTGCAAGTCAATTTAGCCAAGAAGTTAAGAGAGATATGAAGTGTGTAATACTAGCAAGAGTGTCGGGATAGGTCCATTAAAGGGCTCTGGAACTCTCGTAAAACAGGCATCTATGTGTTTGTTTGTTTTAATATTATTACGTTATAGAGTACAGAGTGGTCTATAGTAAGTGCATAGCAAATACATTTAAAAACACAAGAGCATAGCTACAGCTGAAAACCTTCACATATGTTTAAAAAATACAATTACGAGTACATTATTTTTCTCATTTAACTTGTTTTTAACACCGTACAAGCATAATCCCTGGTGCCCCGTGGAGCGACAGGTGGAACAACAGGCGCGCGAGGGGAGGCCCAACTCAACAGTGGGTGCAGCACAACACCCTGGCCAACACACACGAGACCCCCGCTGTTTCTTCCTGGGATTCTTAAGTGATCTTCTACACCTTTGCAGTATATTTCTTTACGTGAATACAATGTAAGTTATCTTAAGGTAGAGGGCGGTAAGGAGGACACACCAGGGGGCAGGAGCCAGATGATCACAGGTGGTGTGAGCAGACAAAGTTATGCTGGGTAAGTTTTTATCAGGACGGAGGACCCCGGCAGGTGTGACAAGGAGGAGGTGTACACGCAGACCAACACAAGGTGTGACCAGATACCAGCGTCCGGCAGTAAGACCCCCCAGGAGCCAGGGGACGCGGCCTGCCTTAACCCGGGCGCTCACCTCCTGCACCAGCAGCTGGCCGCCCGCCAGGTGCTCCCCACCACACGCTGTAGTACACGCTCCTCTTTGTCTCTTACTGACCATAAAAAGCAGCTCTACGAGGAGTCAACAGTGCCTCTACGAGAGCTGCCTCAACCAGGTCACTAAAGGAAAGCAGTCAACAACTACAAGAAGACGATGAAACAGTTGTCTGTGTTATTAAACAACTGGTTACTGTGTGTCACCTGTACTGGCTCTGGCTACACTGACCAAGGAGTAACTCAGGTCCTCACTAACGTTAAGTCAGCCGGGTAGTTCCCCAGACCATAAATCACCGTAGTCTGGTCACACAACACAGCTTCACCTTACCCGCCAACAATTTACTGTACAACTACACTAGTTAATTATTTAAGTTGATGAATAATACTTGGAGTTCCATATCCTTGATCACACTACAGTACATCTACAATAACTACTTAAACTAATAATACAAAGATAATTACAGGAACCTCACTGAACTTTTATCAACATCAAGAAATAAATTATTTACCTTAAATGTTGTATTATAAACAAATGAACTAAAATAAGACCAACAATATGAAAAAACTAAACAACAGCAGCAACATTATTGAGATTCCGTTGAGGGGGTGACCTGACCCCCAGGGTCTGGCTCACGGCCACCCTTCACGCTCTTCCTAACCTCTGCCCAGTGAGTTATATACTGGTGTACAATTGAACAGTTAGGTTATGAGCCTTAAAGCCTCGATAAGTTGTACCAGAAAGAGAATACAATACTTACAAGTCTTCTATCTTGACACACCTGGCCAGGAAGGTGCCACTAGTGGTCATGGTGGCCGTCTTCCACCCTCCACCCGCCTCCTCCTCCAGCCTCTGCCGCTTGACAATGATACAGCCCGGAGGTGGAGGCAGCGTGGGGTAGGTGAGGTCAAGGGGCCGGCGGTCCCTGCCCCGGCCTTCCTTAGGGGTCTTGGTGTCCTTGATCACGGTGGCGAAGAGGCCGTTCTCGATCTTGAGGGTGACGCTGCTCACCTTCCGCGTCCCTTCCTTACCCTGGGACGCCGAGGGGACTTGAGCCACGCACCCATAAGTCGGGTTGTCTTGATGCAGCAACACCCTGACTTGTGAGTAACACTTTTTACCCTGTCTACACTCCTCCGACGGTGAGGTGGTGCTGCCCTCTGTTCCATTACTGTCCACCGCAGAATCTGTCATCTCTGTCTCTGGGTAAGTGGAGTCTGACAGAAAACCCGAATCGAATGTTGTGTTGCTCATGTGGGCACAGGAGGAACACACTGATGAGGCTGAAGAAGGTAAGGGCAGTGCTGTAGTCCCCCCGACACTGCCATCTCGAGGGTGTTTAACATCCCCGGAGTGGAAGTTCCGTGGCAATGTGCCCGTCCCAACCGCCCGGATCCCAACCTTCAGCGTCCAACCTTCAGGGAGATCAGAGGACAAGTTGGGCGTGGAGCCATACTGAGGCGAAGTCTTATCCTCACTCTTGAAGTTACTGCCTGGAGACCGGAAACTCGGGGACCTCAGGTTGTTGAGTTTCGTCACAGGGAACCGGCCACTCTGCCCCTGACTGGACTCTGTGTTCAGAGGTCTTAAGTTATTTGGAAAGTTGGCGTCTTCCTCGAGTGTTCCCGGGTTGTACTCTGGACACCTCTGAATCTTGGTCTTGATAATCTGAGACTTGAGGACTTGAGGTCTGAGGACTTGAGATCTGAGTATCTGGCTCTTGAAGACTTGGGACTTCAACCCCCGCTTAGCCTCGCCCCCGGAGTCCTCGCCCAGGTAGCGGGAGGTGTCCAGCCCCCCGCCGAAGAGGAAGTTTTTGATGGCGGAGACGGAGCCGCTGTCGGTGCGAGAAATGGGACTGTGAGGCATCTTGTACGGCTGGAGGCGCACCTGTAGGAGTAACCAGTCACGTCGTCATGTAGACAGGTTCTCGGCAGTTTACCTGAAGACTTCCTCTGGGAGGTAACCAGAGTACGAGTGTATAGTGTGTGATGTGCAGCTGATGCAAAACAAATGATCTTTCTTACGTTCCATCAGATCTTACCGTCGACGGATCTTTCTGAGATCATAAACTCTCCGATATCTCTGCCAGCCTCACCTTGGGGCATCTTCAGACACCATCACACGGCAGAACAAGAGGCTTTATCTTAAGCCTTCATGATCCAGCAACACGTATGTGACCTTCCGAAGAAGAAAGGCGTCTTCCAGGTTACTGATGGAACGCGATTTCATCATCCGTTCATCCTGGTTCATCATCACTCCGAGTCTTCACAACCTCATCCTCATATTAAATAATGATAAAATATACTGTTATTTTTTTTCTATCTGGGTCTTCACATACTTAATGTTTTTGACCTTTTTCAACTGTTCTGTTTTCTATTCGTCTCTGTTCACTATTCCCTGTTCGTTTATTTCCTATTTGTTCCTTTTATGAACTTTGAACAATATACGTTTTCTTAATGTACACGAACACTTTTCCTTTAGAGTAACAGCTCATGCCACACTAATACAATAATTCCTTTCAAACTTTCTCTCCTGTAATGGTCAAGTTAAAAATATATTATAACTGATGACAAAAATTACATATTCACTTTAAAACGAGGATTTAAAAGGCTCCTTCAATGACCACATGGTATGATGAGGCATTTTCCTTGTTGTGAGAGTTTAAGACGCACACGCACGCACACGCACACGCGCACACACACACACGTCGGCTTTCACCTGACACATGAAACACTCCCATTTGATGATATGAGCTGGGTGGGGGGAGGCGTGTGATGGGGTATATGTGCCCACACGTCATTATGTGCGTGCCACGGACCCTACACCATTGTTCCCACGCCCTCCTGACACACGCGCTCTTGATCCATGTCACTACCCACACGCCCATCCTGTGAATAATACCATCGCGCACGCCCTCCCCACACACGCCACCAACCGTCACGCATACTAACCCCGGCACACGCCCTACCCACCCAAAACAGCCCTCTTACCCACCCAAAACAGACCTACCTTTTCACCACTCAAGGAAAAAGGCCCATTGGAGTATTATTATTATGTATTACACGTTAAAGGTGAGGAAGGTTAACCCCAGCTGGTAATGAAGGCCGCGAGGAGGAGGAGGGGGAAGAGGTGGTAGTGGAGGTGGGCCGTAGGAGGAGGAGGAAGAGGAGGAAGAGGTGGTAGTGGAGGTGGGCCGTAGGAGGTAGGCCAAACAAGCTTGACACAGGCAGCCAGTCACCCGTGGAAGAAAAATGCATTTCCTTAATGGCTGGAGTACCCGGCCGAACACCTACCCGGCCCCAACACCTACCCGGCCCCAACACCTACCCGGCCCCGACACATACCGAGCTAGCAGTAGTGACCTTGATGGATGGCCGAGCTGGGCAGGTGTTCCGTATCTACACTGAACACTTTCTGCTCCACCTCGCTCTTTAGTGACTTAGATCTGACTCACTCACTGATTTTGATCTCTCTCTCTCTCTCTCTCTCTCTCCCTCTCTCTCTCTCTCTCTCTCTCTCTCTCTCTCTCTCTCTCATACACACGGATCTCCTACCACCATCACTACCACCAGCATCACCTTGATACGTTGATGCAAGTGACCTTAGGACACACACACACACACACACACACACACACACACACACATACTTGCTCTTCCAGAATGTCTCGTTAAGTTAGCCTCTGGCCATAATTGGAAGGATATGTGTGTGTGTGTGTGTGTGTGTGAGCTTGTTCAATTAAGGTGAGAATTAATGCACGGAACTGACCCCAAGTCACAAAGGCTTTGAGTCAGCTGGCATGAGTCACATATGTTTCGATGGTGATGAGTCAAGTGTTTGAATGATAATGAATCACTTGTGTTTGGATGACGATGATGAGTCACTTGTGTTAGGAAGGTGACTGCTACAGTGTGTGTGTGTGTGTGTGTGTGTGTGTGTGTGTCAGGTCATCATCATCACATGTTTGGACACACACCAACTCATCACTATGCACCGCACGTCTTGGCCCCAAGTTGTTGCCGGAAGAACAACACTGTTAAAGGTGCCACAATATTAGGCAAAGGTTCAAAGTTGGTCACCATACTGCTTTTGTTATGGTGGTCTACACACACACACACACACACACACACACACACACACACACACACACACATTCTCTATTTCTTTCTGTCTTTGTGTGTGTGTGTGTGTGTGTGTGTGTGTGTGTGTGTGGCAACAGCAAGATTGTGTCCTACGAGGCACAGTCACGCGCGCTTCAACTGAGTGTAAACAAACAACCTCTAACAGTAGAAACGAATAAAAATGAAAAGATATGTATTAATTTACTGTACTCATGGGGCTGAGCATCGTACTCATGGGGCTGCCATCGTAATCATACTCAAGGGGTTAAATAGCATTACCTGTACTCTATACCCAAATTCACCCCTGTACTCACGTTTCAGAAATTCTTTTAACTATATAGTGAAAATAGAGTGAATATATGTCAAGGCAGGTGCAACGATAACGAGATACAGGTGTTAGGGAAGACCATAACCAAATAATTCCCAGGTGCACGTGCTGTACACCTGTTGATTGGCCAGGTGGCTAATTTATATTCAGTACGACACAGGTTTCAGCGATTAAAGTGCAACAGATGAGACAAAAGTGAGATACAGATGTTAAGAAGACACATGTAGGACACAGTCCCCAGAGGCACATACACCTGTTGAGTGACCAGGTGTCCACAATCACCAGGTAAGAGAGAAAATATATAATCTTTCTCATCTCACACAACAGAAGTCACTACAGTATAAGAAGCCCGGACTGTCAGTGGTATTTAGGAGTACATAAGAACGAGATTTAGGGGAAGGGGGAAGGGGGAAGGGGGAGGAGATGCGAGAGGGAAGAAGTGGGTGGCAGAGATAGGACAGGAGGGAAGATGAGACCAGAGAGAGGAGGGAGAGATGGGGGGGGGGGGGAGAGAACGCGGGATGCTGGAGGACAACAGATCAACACGGGAGATAAGTTGCATTAGCGTCAGCCCGGGCGGCCAGCGATCTGTCTTGGGCGGGTGATGATGCAGCCTCCCTTGCTCGCTCACTGGATTTACATTGCCTACCGCTCACCCATGACCCCCCACCCCTCACCCTTCCCCCAGCATCCATTACAACACAGGGAGGCATCAATCCGTGCCCACCAGCTTCTCTCCAGGTATTTATCACCGGATCGTTGAGGAGAATTACTTACTGCTGATGCTGCCGTGTTTACCAGCCAGCCCAAGCCACGGGTATCAGTTATGACGTATAGCGGAGGCATGACCACACATCCGCCTTGTGCTATACACTACACACACACTCTCTCTCTCTCTCTCTCTCTCTCTCTCTCTCTCTCTCTCTCTCTCTCTCAAGCCACGTCCATGCCACACACTGATGATACATACACTCGAGTCATACTCAGCAGTCAAGTTATACCTCCATACGCTGCAGATGGTAAGGAGAGGAGACAACGGTATAAATTACAAGACCCTGAAAGTGAGCACCAGGTAAACGCTCTATCATCCAGGTGAGGCAGCGTGGCCAGGGGGGGCTAACAACACACTGGTTTATAATCATTACAGAAGCGAATCAGCGGCACACCTGTGGGCCTCGAGGTGATCGATGGTGGCCCAGTAGGTGAACACAGTAGCTCATAGCCTCCGGGAACACTGTCTCGTTAACAATCACCTGTTGTCCCCTGACCCTAACTACCCAATTAAGGACATCAACATCAAACGTGTCAGGTCACCCACAATAGTTCAATCACTTCTCCCCCTGAATCACCAACCCCGAGATTCAGACTCATGAATCAAAAACATTTATGGACTAAATAATGTATCAGTCTACTGCTTCGGGTTCACGAGTTTGAATCTCGGGGCTCGTGGTTCAAGGGGAGAGACGATAAAACCCACATATTTCCCCACAATATGCTTAAAAAAAAAACATATTTCCCCACAATCAGCTTAAACACCATATAAATTCCCCCCACGATCAATCTTAAAACCCACATATTTCCCCCACCACCCCCCCCCCCCACAATCACAGCTTCAACACAAGACAATATGATTTTTCCCCCACCTACTACATATACGGTTGATCGCTCACAGGCCCCACGACCCGAGACAGACGGCCTTGAGATTTACTTATACGAGCAACGCCCACCTGACTCCCTACCTACCTACCTACCAGGTGAGCAAGATGGTGGTGGTGGTGGTGGGGGGGTTGGTGATGGTGGGGGTGGTGGAGATGGTGATTGTGGTGGTAGTGGTTGGGGTGGTGATTGTTGTAGTGGTTGGTGGTGATAGTGGAGATAGTGATTGTGGTGGTTTTGGTGTTGGTCGTGGTTGGTGATTGTAGGGGAGGGGAGGGGGGGGGTGGTGTTGGTAGGGTGATTGTAGTAGTTGGGAGATAGTGTTGGTGGTTGTGATGGCGTGATTGTTGTACTTTAGACACTTTAATGAACTCACTAAAAGAAGACAATGCACTCAAATAAACCCAGAAAGCCAAGGCACTCTCTAACATGCACTCGAGGAAGATAAAGAAGAGTACAAGACACTCAAGAGTTCCCAAAGTCACTGCATTTTTTCGTTGTTTTTGGTTTTGCTTTTAAATACATTGTTCCTGAAGTCGGTATTTGTTTTTTCTTTTGTCTTTCTTAAACACTAATCTACTCGCTTTAGTCTTAATGGCTCTCGTTAGTGCTTCTTAATGAGCCAGATGTATGTGTATGTGTGTGTGTGTGTGTGTGTGCTAGTCATGACATCAGAGCCAGTGAGGGAAGCGACGACCACAGCTGCAGGGGGCGGGGGGGGGTCATGTGTCCTCATCACTACTACTGCCAACCCCCCCCCACGGGCGCACATCAATAAGTATGACTCCTTGGTGTTTCTTCTCTCCCTCCTCCCCACCTTTCTTCATTCCTCCTTCTCTCCTCCATCTTTCTTCATTCCACCTTCCCTCCCTCCTCCTCCCCTTTCTTCATTCCCTCCTTCCCTCCCTCCCATCTTTCTTCATTCCCTCCTTCCTCCCTCCTCCACCTTTCTTCATTCCCTCCTTCCCTCCTCCCATCTTTTCTTCATTCCTCCTTCTCTCCCTCCCACCTTTCTTCATTCCTCCTTCTCTCCCTCCATCTTCTTCCATTCCTCCTTCCCTCCCCTCCCTCCCACCTTTCTTCATTCCTCCTTCCCTCCCTCCACATCTTTCTTCATTCCCTCCTTCCTCCTCCCCTCCCACCCCTTTCTTCATTCCCTCTTCCTCCTCCATCTTTCTTCATTCCCTCCTTCTCTCCCTCCCACCTGTTCATTCCCTCTTCTCTCCACTCCCATCTTTCTTCCATTCCTCCTTCCTCCTCCTCCCACCTTTCTTCATTCCCTCCTCCTCTCCCTCCCCACCTTACTTATTCCCTCTTCCTCCCTCCCTCCCACCCCCCCTTTCTTCATTCCTCTTCCCACATCTTTCTTCATTCCCTCCTTCTCTCCCTCACCTTTTCTTCATTCCCTCCTTCCCTCCCTCCCATCTTTCTTCATTCCTTCCCTCCTCCCATCTTTCTTCCATTCCCTCCTTCCCTCCTCCATCTTTTCTTCATTCCTCCTTCCCTCCCTCCCACCTTTCTTCATTCCCTCCCTCCCACCTTTCTTCATTCCCTCCCTCCACTGCTTCATTCCTCCTCCCTGCCTCCCCCAAGATGCACTCTCTATTTACTCTCTGAATCACATGTTTAACTCTGCTAAATATTTCCCTTCCTCACTACAGGCTAGACCATGGGGCCACAAGAGGTTTTTTTTTTATAAATAAGAAAGAATTTATGGACTTAGTTTCTGTTGTCACATATAAACATCTTGATCACTATTATATAAACATGGTATTAACAGCCCCCACACCACCAGTACACCAGGTGGTATTAACAGCCCCACACCACCAGTACACCAGGTGGTATTAACAGCCACCACCACCAATGCACCAGGTGGTGATAACAACCCCCACACTAGTACACCAGAGTGGTATTAACAGCCCCACACCACCCGGTACACGGGTGGTGATTAACAGCCTCATACTACCCAGTACCAGGTAGTGATAACAGCCCCACCACCAGTACACCACGTGGTGATGTAGCCCCACACCACCGGTACACCGCATTGGTGATAGCAGCCCCCACACCACCGGTACACCGTGGTGTAGCCCCCACACCACCAGTACACCAGGTGGTATTAACACGTTTCAATCACGTCAAACTCATTTTTAACCCGGGTTTATCATCATCATTATCAGTAATTACAAACAAAACCTCCAGTATATATCACTTATTGCAAGTAAATCCTGCAATGCGGTATTTCAACATAGGAATGCCTTTTTTTTATTTGTTCAAGTTGCAACTCTTTAAAGATTTCATCAATATTTCACCCACTTCACGTTTCTTTAACGAATTTATGTGTTTCAGCTAATTTTTGTTCCTTTTAATAATTTCTCTTGTGTTAACTAATTCTCGTTTCTGTATTTAATTTATGTGTTTTAACTAATTCACGTTTCACTGTATAATTATTCTGTTTTAACTCGATTCACATTTCATTTACAAATTTCTCTGTTTTAACCAATTTTCCGTTGTAAGTAATTTCTCTGTTTTAACTCATCCACGTTTCCATATATAACATCTTTTTCAAAACTTTCTGTACAGGTTCAATTTCACAATTCTCTCTTTTCAATTAGGTTCACAGAGTTCACAACAAGCGTGGGTTGATTAAAATGAACCCAAATGTCCATAACACACACTGCCTTTTGATACATGACACTGGCGGGTGCAGAGAGTGTTCAATATTGTTTCAAAAGGTTCACATGGTGTTCAATATTGTTTCAAAAGGTTCACATGGTGTTCAATATTGTTTCAAAAGGTTCACATGGTGTTCAATATTGTTTCAAAAGGTTCACATGGTGTTCAATATTGTTTCAAAAGGTTCACATGGCGTTCAATAGTTTCAAAAGGTTCACATGGTGTTCAATATTGTTTTAACAGGTTCACATGGCGCTCAATATTAATTTGCACAGGTTCAACAAGAGCGCTCAATCTGTACTGTATTTCTCACCACTAATACTTATACACACACAAATATCATACTCCCAGCAACAATATTTCTCAGCGTGTTGTTTACCACACTGAGACACCCACCACAACACAGGCGGCTGAGAGAGACATCACAACATAATTCACAACAAACCGACAGTCAATGGATTTTTTTTTGTCATTGTTTTTTTACTATAAATTTTTTGACGCAGTTCAGATAGATTAAAAAAAATAATAATAGAGGATAGTAAGTTCCTTTTAGTGTGTGTGTGTGTGTGTGTGTGTGTGTGTGTGTGTGTGTGTGTGTGTGTGTGTTGTTGAGATGGTGGAGTTAGTTTACTATCAATCACCATCACTCAGTTCCGTCTCAGAAGTTGCTGGCGGGTAACAGTAAATGAATGAGTGAGTGTGTGTGGGTGAGAGGTGTGTTTGATTGAGGGCGGATCCGTCCACCTTAGTGTAAGTTACAAAGCTGTTACTCACACGTTTAAGTCACCCAGCTGTTACTCACACGTGTAAGTTACCCAGCTGTTACTCACACGTGTAAGTTACCCAGCTGTTACTCACACGTGTAAGTTACCCAGCTGTTACTCACACGTGTAAGTTACCCAGCTGTTACTCACACGTGTAAGTTACCCAGCTGTTACTCACACGTGTAAGTCACCCAGTTGTTACTCACACGTGTAAGTCACCCAGCTGTTACTCACACGTGTTAGTCACCCAGCTGTTACTCACACGTGTCAGTCACCCAGCTGTTACTCACACTTGTCAGTCACCCAGCTGTTACTCACACGTGTCAGTCACCCAGCTGTTACTCACACTTGTCAGTCACCTAGCTGTTGGGGAGACTGTGCGGTATTATGTTTGTGAGGGCGTGGTGGTGGTGGTGTAGGTGTGAGGTGGATGTGGTGGTGTGGGTGTGATAGGGCAACGCGTGTTGGTAGTGTGGGCGGGCGTCAGAGCCTTAATATGTCACTTGTAGCACCAAGTTTCTCCCTGAGGCAACACTACAGTACACGATGGTCGACACACCCTCACCACACACACACACACACACACACACACATTTACCCCCCTCCACACACACACACACAGAAAACGCGTTTTCCATCGCACGTAAGTTTTCATTTTCCTTGATCTCAATACGGTACCACTATTTTCTACACTACAGGGAACATTAACGCATCATAGGCACAAACACACTAAAACTCCCTCACACGGGCAGAAACACGGCACAATAAACCACTAACACAAGCACCGCGAGCAACACACGGGGAGGAGGTGCCAGAAGGAGGGTGAAGGGAGGGTGAGCAACATTGGTGAGCTGCTGCAGAGGAAGAGCCAGAGAGAGAGAGAGGCTGGGGGGCAAGTGAGTGAGGTGGGCGCTGGGCACGGACTGGGCAAGCGGACAGCGGGATCCAGAGGGGCCCCCGCGTGGCGAGCGAGAGAGAGTGAGCGAGCAAGCGAGACAGAGAGAGAGAGAGACTACGGAGAGAGAAGGTGGTGGGCACGCTGCAAGATCCTCCTCTTCCTCCTCCCCCTCCTGCCTCTTGTCAGTAGTACCTGGAGAAGTAAGTGCAGGCGCCAGGGAGAGTGAGTGGTTGGCTGAGTGGCTGACTGGCTGACTGGCTGAGTGGCCGGGGCACTCAACAGGTCTGGCTATCATTGAGTGCCTATACTTATATGACTTATACGTAATAATATAAAACTACCACTTTAGTTTTTTCAGGGTCAATTGTCGGTATGACCCATATACTCTCTCTCTCTCTCTCTCTCTCTCTCTCTCTCTCTCTCCCATGAATCCCAGCCGATTAAGTTGACATACTCATAGACCTTAAGTCATTTTGCTAAAGGAGTCATCATACTTAAGCTGCCATCATGCTCAACCAGTCATCATACTCAAGGCATTAACACTGATGACAACATTACCTTAAACACAAGACTCGTCAATAGAAGAGAAAAAATCCCTCACGCATGAAACCAAAAACAGGATCAGTCAGGTCAGAAGAGGCGACCACTAGGGAAGCATAAATATAGTTAAAACCCTCCTCTCAGTGATGGGCTGGCTGGCTGGTCGCTCCTCCTTTGTTTACTGACAACATCCGCATGTGTGAAGTGTGTACAGCGTGTGTGTTGGGAGATTGAACCATCACACACACACACACACACACACACACACACACACACACACACACACACACACACACACACACACACACACACACACACACACACACACACACACACACACACACACACACACACACACACACACACACACACACACACACACACACACACACACACACACTATTGCTGCTATTATTTTGCTATCATCATCAGGTTTATTGTTATTATTATTATTATTATTATTATTATTATTATTATTATTATTATTATTATTATTATTATTATTATTATTATCACCACCAGTTCAGTAATCCCTCCACCACAGGTAACATCACGGAGGTAAACAAAATATTCAGATCAAAACACTTAAGAAACTTTCAACTTTATGCCGATGATGATGAGCTTGTGAGAGGAAGGTCAGTCTTGGTGAGGGAGTGGAGGTGTGAGGGGCGGGGGGGAGGGGTTGAGGGGTGAAACACGTGGTAGGGAGGGTGGGAAGAAGGGGGAGGGAAGGGAGGAAAGGGGGAGGAGGGAGGCCGTGCTTGCTTGCTTGCTTCACTGGCCCTCTAGTGTGTATGTGAAGTGAGTTGTGGTGCTTGATGCTTATCCTCCCCTCCCCCCCCTTCCCCTCCCCCCTTCCTTCCCTTCCCTCTCCTTTCCCTTCCCCTACTTCTCCCCTCTCTCCTTCATACTAGGGTAAACTCAAGATGGTGTCACCTGCATTTATAGAATCCTGGTGATGGTGTCACCATACTAGGAGGAACCCAAGATGGTGTCACCATACTCTAGGGGTACTCAAGATGGTGTCACTCATACTAAGGGGGAACTCAAGATGGTGTCACTCATACTAGAGGGTGGAACTCAAGATGGTGTCACTCATACTAAGGGGGTACTCAAGACGGTGTCACTCATAATAAGGGGGAACTCAAGATGGTGTTACTCATACTAGAGGGTGTCACTCATACTAAGGGGGAACTCAAGATGGTGTCACTCATACTAGAGGGTGTCACTCATACTAGAGGGTGGAACTCAAGATGGTGTCACTCATACTAGAGGGGAGAACTCAAGATGATGTCACTCATACTAAGGGGGTACTCAAGATGGTGTCAATCATACTAGAGGGGAGAACTCAAGATGGTGTCACTCATACTAGAGGGGGAGAACTCAAGATGGTGTCACTCATACTAATGGGGAGAACTCAAGACGGTGTCACTTATACGAGAGTAATATTTCGTCATATCACCAGCGAGTGTTAGTAAGAGGAGGGCGGCGGTGTTAACTCCCTACTGTGCCATGTGGATCAGTCCAGGGTTAGTCTTGGTCACCGTTCTAATATAGGTTGGGTGTAAACAAGAGTTACCTGTATAGCCTACTGTCAGTTTCTTTATGAGTGACACTTGAGGACCCTATTATGAGTGACACCATCTTGAGTTCCACCTGGGGGTAAATGAGGGGGTGGTGGTATGGTGGAGATGGTGGTGGTTGAGGGTGCTGTGGTGGTTGAGGGAGTGGTGGGGCGTTGTGGTGGTGGGGGCGTTGTGGTGGTGGTGGGGGCAGACGAGGGAGAGAAAGTAATAGGAGGAACACAGGTTATGGCACATAAAAGACGAGGGTGTAACATTATGGGGCACCGCCTAGTGTAGTGGTCTGCTAAGGTGTTGGAGGGAGGGAGGGAGGGAGGGATTAGCGGTAAGTGATAAGGGCGAGGAGAGTGTTTAGCTTGTGGGAGGGGAGAAGAGGAGAGGGAGGAAGAAAGGGGAGGTGATGGGGGGGGGTGGAGGAGGGAAGAATAACTGGCTAAGGTGGTGAGGTATTCGTATTTTTAGTTCAGCCTTGACTTTAAGTAAACAGTTAGAGAGTGTGATGACCCACTCTAAATTACTCTCTCTCTCTCTCTCAGAAAAACAGACAGACAGACAGACAGACAGACAGACAGACAGACGGACAGACAGACAGAGGCTCGTGGTGCACACTGAACATCATTCAGATAGAAGGAGGTGGAGGCAACACTGGCGAGAGGGAGAGAATATTCTCTTTATGAATGGACATAATCAAACCGTGTAACATGAGGTGTAGATGGTGAGGTATGCGGGGAGGACCTGCCTGAAGGAGGTGATGATGATGAGTGAGGCTCTCAGGGGAGGTGGGTTGCCAAACACTTCTTCCAACGTCCGCATGTTTGTGTCCGTTTGTTTCTTCATGTCCGCGTTAACTGACCCTAATATACCCTCCCTCCTGCCGCATGTCCCCCCCGCCCCGCCCCGCCCCGCCCCGTGACCTGTGGCCGCGTCCGCATTGCTTAACTCTCATGTCTCATCTCCTACACCTCCTCCTCCTCCTTCTCTACTCCTCCTCTTTTCCTTTTTTTATGCTTCTTCCTCTTTCTTCCCTCCTCCTCTTTCTTCCCCTCCTCCATCCATCCATCTCCAGGGATGTATACTCACCTCAGACACTCAAGTGAAACACAAGGCCCAGTAAACACAGCCCCAACACCTCGACAACACCTGTGTGTGTGTGTGTGTGTGTGTGTGTGGTAACAGTACCTGGTGAGTCACGGTATCAACACGGTGATGGTTTACACTTAAAAAAATATTAGGATATTTAGCTTATTATTGATGTTGAGTAAAAGACTGTTAGGTAGTGTTAGATCCTGAGGGGAGGGGACACGTGAGGAGGAGGGGGAGGACGAGGAGGAGGGGGAGGACGAGGAGGGGAGGGGAGACGAGGAGGAGGGGACGACGAGGGAGGAGGGGGGACGACGAGGAGGAGGGGACGAGGGGAGGAGGGGGAGATTGAGGAGGAGGGGAGGATAGGAAGAGGTGTCTTGCACACTGGATCGAAAGTCCTCCTGTTTCTCTCTTACCTGTCTTACTGCTTCACCTTGTGGGCGCCACCTAGCAGGCAACAGGTAAAGCACAGTAAAGAAAGCAAGCAAGCAAGGCACGCACACACACACACACACACACACACACACACACACACACACACACACACACACACACACACACACACACACACACCACCTCCTCCATTCCAAGCGCCACAAAGCCTCAACACATCGTGTTTTTGATTTTGCACAAGCACTGACTGGCCTGCACGGGGTACCTCGGCTTGTCTAAAACAAACCTCCAGATCACCTCAACTCCTCTCGCCGCTACGATTAAGACGAGCAGGTAAACACGGAGGCTATGGGAAGCCAAGACTCTCACCAACATCAACAAGCACTTACTGTTGATCACTGGTTGCTATGAGAAGAAAATAAAAATAAACGAACACAAGTAAAATAATGAAAGAAGATACGACGCTGCATTTTTCAATCTGATTAGGGGAGAGAGAGAGAGAGAGAGAGAGAGAGAGAGAGAGAGGAAAGGTCGTAGCACAACTCAGGTAAACTAATTGCTGTAATGTACTAATTAACCTGTGTGGGTCAGGTGTGAGTGACAAGACAGTGATGACGCAACTCCCTCTCCAGTCACTGCCTCCCACACCTTTACCTTCACCCTAGCCACACCTTCACCCCATTCACTACCACACCCTCATCCCCTCCTTCCTTCACTCCTCACCCCCTCCTTCCTCCCTTCATCACCTCCTCCCTTCCTCCCATCATCACCTAAGGCTAATCTAACCTACCCGAACACTAACCTAACCTAACCTAAAGCTAACCTCGACGCTAACTTAACCTAACCTATCGCCACCCTCTCATAACCTAACTGAACCAAATAAAACCAAACCAAACCAAACCAAACCTAACCTAACCCCCCCCAGGTAACATTAGGGTGATTAATTTCCAGGTGAAATAACCTAATTGGGTCGAAGCTTGAAGTGGTACAATCAAAATCAAAAGTCTACCTTCAGTAACAAACAATAACTCTCTTCGGGGGCAAACACACACAAAATATTGTTTACTTTCTCAAAAACATGAAGTTCAATATTGTATACATTTTACCCACATTTCAGACGCAAACAATATTCTATGATTTTGTTTGCTTTTATACATATCTTCAGTAACATAAACAAGCAAACAATAAATTAATTTACATATACAATACTTTCAGGTTCATAAGCAAACATAAACAACAAATACAGTATTGTTTACACCCCTTTCTCCCTTCAATGACAATACACACAAGAAAAAATACTATCTTTGTCTACGGTTCACACACACACACACACACACACACACGACCGACCTGGACAAGGGGGGGGCGTCCTCTCGTAATTCATGATGTCTAGCTCCCCTCCCTCTTTTCCCTCCCCTACCTCCGTCCAGTTCCCTCCTT